TAGGGATGCCTAGGCTTGGTCACCTCTGCAATACCAAGTCAACCACAACACACACGACACTAGAACGTGGCAGATCATGACAACATCACCATCGACAACAAACAGGACTTGATACTAATAATTTCCGTTGGGTGCTTCGTTTGAATCGGCCTGAAACTTGGTGAACTGGTCTGGTGGCACACTGAAGGCAGCCCGGACAAGTCTGGTTCAGATGGTGTTGGTTCCAAAACGGTCTGCAGGCAACTTTAAAAAAGTCAAACAATCCAAGAACAAAGCTCACATCCAGCCCTCAGCAACACCGGAGGGTCTGCTATTCATGTGTGCTTCTACGATGGGTGTGTGTGTGTTGTGAAGGGAGCGTAGAAGCGTAGTGGCAGCAGCCACGCAAATTTTTACAATCCTTCAACTGTTCCGCAACGCAGTCTCTTGCTGCAAAGCCTCACATGCACAGCTGGAAACTGCACGTCATGCTTTTTCTGATACGACCTTGAGTGGCCAATGGGAAACGGGCACCCAGATCTTGGCAGTCGACGTTACACGGAAACCCCCTGCAAAAAAAGGAAACAAGGAAGCGACCCGCTGGAGGTCCGGGAAGTCGATTTCACGCCGTCTCCCAGCAACGCGGCGGAGCCGGCATTCGATTTTGATCTGTCGCGAAAGGGGCAGGGGCCTATCAAACAAACTTCAAACTTTTGAATGGAGGTGTTTTCCTGCGAGCCGATAAATGACTACCGTGGTTTCTTGTATACTGCGTTGGGGGCCCAAACAACCAGTGTCCAAACTTGCAGAAAGCAAACATAGCCTCTCAATATGCACAAATTGGGTCGTTTGCTTTGTTGTATCCACCATACGGTCGTGCATACAACGAACTTCCAACTTTTCTATGGACAAAAAGACCGTCCTCAAAGCCCTCTAGGCCCACCATGGTTCCCTAGATACTCCACTGGAGACCGACACAACCAGCTTCCACACGTGCAGAGAGCCAACATAGCCTCCCAATATGCACAACTTACGCTGTTTGCTTCGTTGTATCTACGACCATGTTGTGGACACAACGAACTTCCACCTCCTCAATGGACAAAAAACACTTTCCCATATTTTTAGATGCTTTTGTGGAGACCCAGACAAACAGTTCCACACCTGCAGAGAGCCAACACCTCTCTGCTTTGTTGTATCCACCATGTGGTCGTGGATACAACGAACTTCCAACTCCCTATGGAGAAAAAACCATCCTCAAAGCCCTCCAGGCCCATCATGGTTCGCTAGATACTCCGCTAGAGACCTACACAACCAGTTTTACAGCCAACACTCCCAATATGCACAACTTCGCCATTTGCTTCGTTGTATCCACGAACATGCTGCGGATACAACAAACTTCCACCTCCTCAATAAGGAAAAACACTTTTCTCACAGCCCTCAAATGACTACCATGATTCCCTAGATTCTATAGGGAGACCCACGCAACCAGTTTCCGCACCCACAGAGAGCCCCCCGATGTGCACAAATTGGGCCGTTTGCTTTGTTTTAACCACATGGTCGTGGATACAACAAACTTCCAACTCCCCAAAAACCCTCCTACTCCACTGGAGACCAATATGATTGCCTACCCACACAACCGTCGCAGAGAGCCTACATAGCCTCCCAAGATGCACAAATTGGGCCGTTTGCTTCGTTGTATCCACCATATGGCCGTGGGTACAACAAACTTCCAACTCCCCTATGAAGAAGAAACGAGCCTCAACACCCTCCACACCCACTATGGTTCCCTGGATGCTCCGCTGGAGACCTCCACAACACTTGCAGAGAGGCAACGTAGCCTCCCAATTTGCACAACCTACGTTGTTGTGTCCACGACTCCACCTCCTCAATGGAGAAAAAACACTTTCCTCACAGCCCCCAAATGACCACCATGATTCCCTAGAAGCTTCACTGGAGACCCGCACAATTAGTTTCCGCACCCGCAGAGAGCCTACATAACCTCCCAATATGCCAAATTGGGTTTTCCTTTGTTCTATCCACCATATGGTCGTGGATACAACGAACTTCCAACTCCACAATAGAGAAAAACACCTTCCTCAAACCCTCGAGGCCCACTATGGTTCCTTAGATAATCCACTGGAGACCTACGCAACCAGTTTGCAGAGATGACTCTTGACGCTTGACTGCCGGTTCTTTGAACATGCGTGATCTTGGATGAGCTGGTCGCATGCGCTAAGCTAGGTCTGCTGCCGCCAAGACCACGAGCACTATGCACGGGATTACCTCTATAAGAGACCATGCTCTCGTGATATCTTGCACTTCTCAAGCGGCACCCTAGCCCAACTCCGTGCGTGGAGAGCACGGACGCCTGAACAGATGAAACCATTACCAACTGTCGACAATGTTCTTGCAACCTCGATCCAAGGAAGGGGGTCGGCGGAACTGGGCGGCAGCCCTTAAAAAATCCGGACTCGCCGTGCAATTTCGCCCAAAGAAACACATGCCTAGGCTTTGCCTTCCGAGAGACGGTCACTGCCGCCGACAGCGCCTTTGGAGCTCGAGTTGCCACCATCTGGGAAACTTCTGTGTTTCCCGCACCGCAATTGGGGCCATTCTTCCCCAAGCCATTCCTGAGGGCGCGCGGGCGCGCGCGCGTGGGGCGCGCGCGGGGGGGGGGGGGGGGGGGGGGGGGCGCGGGTGCGGGTTGGGGCGGGCGCGCGCGTGCGGGGTGGGGGTGGGTTGGGGGTTGGCGGGTGGTGTGGGTGGGTGGGGTGGATGGGGTGTGCGTTGTTGGGTAGTTGGCTGTGGGTGTGTGCGCGTGCGCCACGCATTCCTCCATCCCACGTATCATTGCAGCCCGCGGACCCACCCAAATCCGCCCACCGCATCCCATCCACCACCCCACCAACCCACCCACCCACCCACCCACCCACCCTCCCACCCACCCACCCCACCCCACCCCACCCCACCCACCCACCCACCCTCACCCACCCACCCATCCATCCATCCATCCATTCCCCCGCCCATCCATCCATCCATCCATCCATCCATCCATCCCCCCCTCCCTCCCTCTAATCCGCCATCCATCGCGTCCATCCATCCAGTACGAAAATAAATATTGTTTTCCATATTGACATGTGCGTATGTATGACAACTCGTTGGTTTACGTGTGTTTGTGTTAAAATATGTTGAAATGTCTGTCCGTAAATATCATTACCCCTGCGGCTGCTACACTATGATTTCCCTTAAGACAATGGCGCGCACGTGTCTTGACCCAGTCGAACACAGCTCGAACTATAAGTTGAGGACCTATTTGCTTGACGCCTAGTAAGCCGGGAAACCCAAATTTTGGTGGGCCTAGTGCAAAACACATGTTAAAACTGAAAAACTTCAATCAAGGCCCAGTCAGCAGTACACCTGAGGACTGAAAACTATGAACCAAATTTCGGGACGCCCAAGAGACAACACAAACATTACCATGACAAAATGCGGACGGCCCAGTGAACAGGACGCTTGAACAACCTATGAAACAAGGAAGTTCGCAGCAGTTTCTGCACTGGTTGTGTACTTGTCACACACATGTTCAAAAGTGAACGGGTAATGCATAGAAACCAAAGAAAGGTGCGTAATAAATACACAGAGAACTCATACGTGTTGAAAGTGCAAAACAAAAGCATTAAACAGCGCAAAGAACATGCATAGACAATGCAGAAAATACATAGAGATTCATCGATAATCATAGAACACTTATGGAATATTCATGGAAAACCACAAAACACATGACACTCAAATATAGGTGCCATGAGGCATTCACGGAAAGTTCACTGGTTTGGCAAAGGAGTTGGAAAAAGACACAGCTATGGTTTCTAGCGATCTGCTATTGATTTGGCTTGTTGTGCCAAGGCTGTTTTGATTGATTTTGAAGGGGGCTCTGGTATTGATTTCAGAGCTCTTAAAACCAATGAGGTAAGCGCGCCGTCGTGGGCTCGACTCGCCCTTGGTCCGTGGCAGCCCTGGTTCGCCAAACGTATCGGTTAAGATCGATTGAGCACCAAACCCTGAGCAGCGGCTATTGATTCTAAGCAATAACATGGATAAGGCGTTTTCTCAATGCGAAAGCAGGCGCGCACACCGCGACACAACTTCCAAAGGCCATATCGCGAGCAGTCAAAGTGACAGCACGACGCCACAGCCAGAGCGCTTCGGACCAAGACAAATCGCGCGGCGCTGCAGCGAGAGGGATCCAACGCGCACGAATGCGCACGATCTCCGCAGAGGGTTCGCCGCGCTCAAGACAAGTTCGCACGGCGCCACAGCGAGAGCAATCCGACGCGCACGCTCACCGCACAGCGCCGCAGCGAGAGGCATCCGACACGCACGATCCCCGCAGAGGGTTTGCTCAGCTCAAGAGAAGTTCGCGCATTGACACGCCGCGATGCCCACAAGGAGGTACGTTTCGTAGCCCCCGGCGGGCCTACCCCCGGCAGAAAAAGAGAGGAATAGTTAATGGATTCGAAAAGAGAAGCTGCAAAAGATAGCGTGGAGTAACACACGAAAAGTTGGCAGCGAAGTTGGCAGGCGAAGTTGGCATGGCAGGCGAAGCACGCAGCGGCTCTTCTTCCTTCGCAATGCTTCCGGGAACAAAAACTCAGGAGAAGCGCTAACACAGCATGTTGCCTGGATCCAAAAGGGTTGTAAAACACAAGTGTGGTAGTTACACCACCCACGCACCCTGCGTGCGAGTGCCTGAGTTGCGCGAGTTGCGCGTCAGAGTCCACCAGTGACCTCGGCAAGTGCGCAAACGGAACAGGCGAGTGCCTGTGCGAGTGGACGAGTGTTCGACCTTCGCTCCCTGCTCGCACACTTTTAGCTCGAGCAGACGGTCTGTGTTTAATCCACTTTTTCCAGCTCGCGCGCACTAGTGTTCTGTGCGCGCCAAAGAAAGGGTCTAAAAATACTTCACTGACCGAGTGAAAAGTGCAACTAGTAGCGCACGCGTGTTCGAGAAACTTGTAAACTCACCCACTCGCAACTCGCACGGGCGCCCCCGTTCCGCTCGCGCAATCCACTCGCACACTTGCACGCTCCTCTCGCACACTCCGCCCGCATTCTCGCCAGAACGCCACTCGCGCGCTATTTGGCCTGCTGACGACCTCTTGGCGCCAGCCAAGCAATCATCTTTCGCGTTGACATGTTTAAGCGCTGGGTTGCCGCCGCATTTGACCAGGACAACCACCTTCGCAACGTTGCTTCCCTTGCCCCGCCTGCGGTTGCAGCAGCGCGGCTCTTGAAAGCAAAGCTTCAGCGCCCCATGAACCCTCCTCAGTCGTTCAGGTTGGATCTCTCCAATGGACGTGGGGCCCTCAAATTGACACACCCTGCAAAACAGGGCGGCCCACAACAGACCATGCCTCTTCAAGCTGCGCAAGCTGGCTGAGTGCTGGGCCGGATGTTGCAGCGTGGTTCCCGTCTGACACAACATGTCCCCGAGCTGCTGGCAAAGCTCGGGATTGTTGGGGTCGAGCCGAAACGCCTCGCGTTCGAACGAAACTCAGTTTAGCCCTCATTGTGCTCCAGTTGGTGAGCGCGGTCAAGTGTCATTCTTCGCAAAAAAGTTTGCGCTCTACATGCGGGCGTTCTAATTGTACACCCATGGGTTAACAATTAGCCTGGCATTCAAACTTCGCTACGCCAAAACGGCCTCCAGGAGATGCGAAAGTCGAAGCCCGTGCCGCTGCTGGGTCTCCTGCAAGGGTTGATCACATCTGCGTGCGTCGCGGCCACAACCATTTCCAGAGGCAATGATAGATGACGGGTATCTTCATCTGCGTCTCTTGTTGAGCCATGCCCATGCCCCACATGCGTCATGCGTCACGCGTTGCGCCTGTACTCCTGAAAGGACACACTGCTTTAAGAACGGGAGCAAATGGTAAAAAAGGCTCACACGCGCAGCGCACAGTGGTCCTGACAGCAACTATACTACGCGCCAGTGCTGTGAGGGCTGCCGAGCTACCCTTGGCGAGGGTGCGAGTTGGCACACATGTGCGCAAGCAGTCCAAGAGGTCGGTGTCAATCAGGGCATTGGCCAAGCGCAGGCGGCGCGTGCCGCTACGTGGGTCCAACTTGCACGCCTGGCAGCTGCGTGCGCATCAGTTGCCCTTGTTGCGACTGTTGCTGCCCGCATGGTGGCCCAACATTCAGAATGACACTTGCGGGCCCACTTGTGCCTAAACTTCGGCCGCAACAACAACGACTACGCATCAACCCAACGCGGAATGTCGAGGCAGGCTCCGTTTGCTGGAGCTCCTTCCGTCTTGTGTTGCTTGGGCTGTCGCAAACATAAAGCATCAGGTCGGTCAGTAGGTGGGAGCTATTAGTGTACTGACAAGGTCGCAGTAGGGGGCGTGTGGCTGTGGAACCCTTGGATGCACCTTCTCTTGCATCGTCAGGGATGCTTCGATAAGGCGCTGCGCCTGGCGCATGTCGAGCCCAACGCAATCATATAACGCGTTGGCAGAGGTCAGAACATGCAGAAAAGCGCATTATGCATTGTGCATGAAAACCGTCTTCTGCGCCTAACAGGGTTCCGCAGCGCGTGCGAACTCTAAGATCGTAAGCTTGGCACAAACAACTGCGCTGACGCAGCTGCCAGCCTCCGAACTTCTGGCTCGGCCCACAGGCAAGCGCGGCCTCTGCCTCGCAGTCGCCGACCAAACGCCAGCCCTCCCAGTCGCCGACCAAACGCCAGCACTACCTCCCAAAGCACTTTATCAAATGAAATTTCAATAAACTTCTGTGGTGCGGAAACCGCTCTCTCTCTCTGACACACGACAAGACAAGAGAATGTGTGGCGGGGGAGCGTTCAAAAAACGCAACCTTCTGGGGGCTTCGGTTCCTTGCGGCGCTCGAAAGTTCGCTCTGAATGCGACACCTGGTCGGAGCAAAAGACAGAAAGACAGAAAGACAGAAAGACAGAAAGACAGAAAGACAGAAAGACAGACAGACAGACAGACAGAAAGAAAGAAAGAAAGAAAGAAAGAAAGAAAGAAAGAAAGAAGAAAGAAAGAAAGAACAAGAAGCGTCGGAAGACAGACATATGGCAAGAAGGAAAGACAATCACCCACAAATATGCAAAAACACATGAAGAAAGAAACAAACAAAGGGACACAGGGATGGATGGCAAAGGCGAGAAGAGCAAACAAGAGGAGCTATGTATCTTTTTAAAAGTTTCTAAGCTTCCGTTTGCCAGATTCGCCGGCTCTACTGGTGGTACATATGCGCGTTGAACGTTTAGGACCTCCCTCACCTCCGTAAATGGGATGCCTGGAAACACAGATGCTGCAGATTAGTTATGAACAACTGCTTCTATGAGTCAGTCGCAACTGCGTGCTAATGAACATTAGCCGCTGTCCGCCTTGGGCGGTTTGGCAGGGTTGGTTGGATTGGCTTCGAAGGCCCAAGCAAGTCTATGGGCCTTCTTGGCCGGGCGCTTGGTCTGAGCATCGCGGCATGTCTCAAAGTAATGAATCTACCGCGCCAGGCGGCTCTGTGCTGCTACCAACAACACAAGCTAAAAGAGCCGGTGCTAAAGCGCCAACAAGTTGATTCTATCTGGATCCAGATAGGTGAGGTCGCACAGAACAACTCTAACTCCTGAGCCTGGGCTGTCTTGACCTCAGGCACACGGCGCCGCTGGTGGCAACTCCGATCTCGACTTCTCCGTGGGCCCGACCAAACCAATAAATTCATTGGCAACCCGAATAAAGTTGGACGACCGGAGTATACAGATGGGCGCTATAAGTTTGCCTGGCTTTTGCTTTTCGCCCTCCATATCCCGTGTTTGGAAATCTGAAGTGGCACTGGCGCGCGCGCTCGTTCGAGCGCATCCACTCAATGCGCACACGCCCGTGCGCGATAAGCTTCGCGAGCACGGCCGAGGTGATCGCTGTTTGAGCCCTGGCATTAGCTTAACTCTGGCACAGCCTAACGCGAACGAAAGCGGCATTTAAGTCTACAATTTAAGGTGGGCGGAAGGGTAGGTTTCGTGTAGGTCTAGGGTAGGTCTACGGTAGGTTTAGGGGGGTAGGATTAGGGTAGGTTTAGGGTGGGGGGCGGTAAGCTTGGGTGTGTCAAGGGTGGGCTTCGGGCAGACTTGGCAGGGTTTGTTTTGGGTGGGTGTGTCTTTAAACTTCTTAGCAAAGGTCAATTTAGGGCGGCCCGGGAACTCCAAAGCGAAGGAGCTGTAACCAGTTTAGCGACGGTCAACAATTTCCAGCCATCTGGGAAGCGCCGCCCGCTGGTCGCCCGGACGCCCGCGCTCAGATTGAGAGAGGCGCACAGCTTCGCTCCCCAGAGCCAACCCCAAAAACCGACGGCCCAGCTTTGGACACGGACACCCAATTTCGTTCGGCGGGTCGCTCGCGGCGCGACGTCGGATTCGTTTTCCCGGCGCTTTCCTGGGGCTTCCGGAGCGCCCTGGAGCTTCTTGGTAGCCGCGCCCGACCGGTAGACTTAAACTCCACCGCGTGCGCCAGGCTGTGGCAGAATTAGGCCAACCAGCCACACCACCAACTAATCAACTAGCCTGTCTGAGCAAAAAACCCAAGAGCTCAGCTGCCCGCCCACGATGAATTGTGAGATTTGCTTGTGCAGCAGTGTTCTCTGGATCCAGCTCCTTAGGCCACGGCAGAACGCGGAAAGTGCTTCAGAATGCTGCCATAGGGAGGGTCCTGGCTCTGCTCATATTCAGGTAAGACTCCAAAGCGCGCTGGAAGATCTCTTCGCTGCTGTAATGACATCCTTGAAAGTCGAGCTTGTCAACGGTCACCCCTGCGAGGCCACGCAACTCACAAGACTCCTCCAACGCCCTCGGGATACCATCACTCTCAAGCCAATACGTGTTCAAGGACCAAAAACATACTGATTTAAGCAAGTCAGCGCGGAGAAGAAACAATGCCTGGCTCTGAAGTTCTGGCTTGTGAAGTCTGTGCATAAGCTGTACAGTTGGGTACTTCTGGGCTCTTCGAGACGTCTGACGCCTGCAATGTCAAAAAAGAATACGTGCGTCGACAATTACAAAACAAGCTGCTTTGCTCAAGGATGTGCAACGGGGCTGCCAAAATCCTTCTGGCGTCACTACCCTCAAGCAAATTCCGGCGTTTCTTGCATGCGTTGCCAGTCCCAGGAGACCCGAACAAGTTGTCACGTCAAGTCGTGTTCAGCTTGAAGCAACGTCGGTCGTCTTGCCAGCTTCTTCCCAACCGCTGCCATGCGTCGATCTGTCCCAACACACATCGTGTTTGCAATCTTGCTGCTAATGGTCCACATGGCACAAACGAGAGCGAGCACAAAAACAATTGTTACGAAACTATGCAGCCATGAGAACAGTAAGCCCTGCGTGGCATTTGAAGGGTAGTCATTTGGCTGCGTGTCAACATCTCGCGTCCTAAATTTGTCCAGGTCCGAGAGGAGGCGCAATCCTGACACAGGCTGGTTGTGAGGTCTTTCCCACACTGCCTCACTTAGGCGCGGGCCAGCTCAAGAGCTCTGAGGTGCAGCTCAAGGCGGCTCCAGGTTCTCCCTGGGCGCGTTTCGAAAGCTGACTTCAGCGCGCACACTCTCAGCCATTCCCACGGTTCAATTCTGGGGTGGGTCGTGGGGACTTGGGTTGTCATCAAGGCGATCACGAGCATCATCCTCACCGCTGCTAGAGATGTAGGGGATGTGCAGCGGGCGTGTCATCATCCGTGCTGGAGATGCTGGGGATGCGTAGTGACAGTTATCATCAAGGCGATCACGCGCATCATCCTCACCGCTGCTAGAGATGTAGGGGATGTGCAGCGGGCGTGTCATCATCCGTGCTGGAGATGCTGGGAATGTGTAGCGACGGCTATCATCAAGGCGATCACGAGCATCATCCTCTTAATTATCGTCACGACTCGTCTTTGTCAAGTGTTTTTAAACACATTTCAAGTGTCCCGTTAGACCCGGCTTGACACGCATCGCTGCTTGGAGATGCCAGGGATGTGTTGCGATGATGACTATGGATCATCATCGCTGCTAGAGATGCTGGGCGTGTCATCATCCGTGCTGGAGATGCTGGGGATGCGTAGTGACAGTTATCATCAAGGCGAGCACGCGCATCATTCTCACCGCTGCTAGAGATGTTGGGGATGTGCAGCAGGCGTGTCATCATCCGTGCTGGAGACGCTGGGGATGTGTAGCGACGGCTATCATCAAAGCGATCACGAGCATCATTCTCATGATTCTCGTCATGACTTGTCTTTGTCACGTGTTTTCTACACGCATTTCAAGTGTCGTTAGACCCGGCTTGACACGCAAGCAACGCGTAGTCATGATTATCATCATCGCTGCTGGAGACGCCGGGGACGCGTAGTGGTGATTATCATTATTCATCATCGCTGCTAGAGCTGCTGCCGGGGATGCGTAGTGAAGATTATCATCGTTTATCATCACTAGGGCGTGTCATCATCCGTGCTGGAGATGCTGGGGATGTGTAGTGACGGTTATCATCAAGGCGATTACGAATATCATCTTCATGATTCTCGTCATTTCTTTTTTTTGTTACGTGTTTTTTACATACAGCTTAAGTGTTTTGTTCAACCGGCTTGATATGTAAGTGATGCGTAGTCATGATTGTCATGATCGTTGCTAGAGATGCTGGGGGTGCGCAGCGGTGATGATAAATCATCACCTGCTAGAGACACTGGGCGTGTCATCATCTGTGCTGGAGATGCTGTGGGTGCGTACTGACGGATATCATCAAGGCGATCACGAACATCATCCTCATGATTCTCGTCATGACTTGTCTTTGTCAAGTGTTTTCTATACACATTCAAGTGTCCCGTTAGACCCGGCTTGACATGCAAGCGACGCATAGTCATGATTATCACCATCGCTGCTGGAGATGCCGGGGATGCGTATTGATGATTCTCATCGTTCATCATCACTGCTAGAGATGCTGGGCACGTCATCATCCGTGCTGGAGATGCTGGGGATGCGCAGTGACAGTTATCATCAAGGTGATCACGAGCATCATCCTCATGATTCTCGTCGTGACTTGTCTTTGTCAAGTGTTTTCCATACACATTTCAAGTGTCCCGCTAGACGTGGCTTGACATGCAAGCGATGCGTAGTCATGATTTTTAAAATCGCTGCTAGAGATGTCGGGGATGCGTAGTGATGATTATCAGTTTCATGATCATTGTTGCCGGAGATGCTGGGGATGCGCAGCGATGATTGTCATCATCGCTGCTAGACATGCTGGGGCTGCGGAGTGATGATTATCATCATTCATCATCACTGCTAGAGATGCTGGGCGTGTCATCATCCGTGCTGGAGATGCTGGGGATGCGTAGTGACGGTTATCATCAAGGCGATCACGAACATCATCCTCATGATTCTCGTCATGACTTGTCTTTGTCAAGTGTTTTCTATACACATTTCAATTCTCGTGTTAGACCTGGCTTGAGACGCTAGCGATGCGTAGTCAGGATTATCATCATCGCTGCTGGAGACGCCGGGGATGCGTAGTGGTGATTATCATCATTCATCATCACTGCTAGAGATGCTGGGCGTGTCATCATCCGTGCTGGAGATGCTGGGGATGCGTAGTGACAGTTATCATCAAGGCGATCACGAGCATCATCCTCATGATTCTCGTCGCGACTTGTCTTTGTCAAGTGTTTTCTATACATTTCAGTAACCCGTTAGACCCGGCTTGACACGCAAGCGATGCGTAGTCATGAGTATCATCATCGCTGATGGAGATGCCGGGGATGCGTCGCCATGGTTGTCTTGACTTGTCTTTGTCAAGTGTTTTCCACGCACATTTCAAGTGTCCCGGTAAACCCGGCCTGACACGCAAGCGACACGTAGTCATCATTATCATAATCGCTGCTGGATGCGTAGTGATGATTATGACCGTCATGATCATTGCTGCTGGAGATGCTGGCGATGTGTAGTGATGATGTCATCATCGCTGCTAGAGATGTTGGGGATGCGTAGTGGTGATTATCATCATCCTTGCTAGAGATGCTTGGCGCGTCATCATCCCCGTTGGAGATGCTGGGGGGTTATCATCAAGGTGATCACGAGCATCATCCTCATGATTCTCGTCTTGACTTGTCTGTGTCAAATGTTTTCTACACACATTTCAAGTGTCTTGTTAAACCCGGCTTGACACGCAAGCGATGCGTAGTCATGATTATCACCATTGCTGCTGGAGATGCCGGGGATGCGTAGTGATGATTATCCTGGTTGTGACCATTGCTGCTGGAGATGTTGGGGATGCGTAGTGATCCGTAGTGATGATTGTCATCATCGCTGCTGGAGATGTTGGGGATGCGTAGCGATGAATATCATCATCCTTGCTAGAGATGCTGGGCACGTCATCATCCCCGTTGGAGATGCTGGGGATGCGTAGCGACGGTTACCATCAAGGTGATCACGAGCATCATCCTCAGGGTTCCCGTCATGACTTGTCTTTGTCAAGTGTTTTCTACGCGCATTTCAAGTGTCCCGTTAGACCCGGCTTGACATGCAAGCGATGCGTAGTCATGATTATCATCGTCGCTGCAGGAGATGCCGGGAAGGCTGTCGCAGGCTGGCAGGTGCAGCCCGCAGACTGTACCAGAGCCACAGCCCGAAGACTGTGCCAAAGCCACAGCCCGAAGGCTGTGGCAGGTACAGCCCGAAGCCAGCCACAGCCCGTAGGCTGTGGCGACATACATGCCTACACACATACATACATACATACATACATACATACATACCATGTATGTCATACATAGCATACATAACATAAATAACACAGCATACACACGTACATACACACATACACACATACACACATACATACATACATACATACATACATACATACATACATACATGCTAACATAACATAACTTAACAGAACACAACATAGCATTACATACATACAAGCATACATACATGCATACATGCATACACACATACATTACACACATACGTGCATACATGCATGCACACATACACGCATACGCACATACATACATACATACATTCCACACACACATGCATACAGACATACATACATGCGTGCATACATGCATACATGCATACCTTACATTACATATGCACACACATACATACATACATAGATGCCTGCGCAGCCAGAAATGCAACTGGGGTCGGCGGCGCCAGGCGGCAGCAATTCGGGCCGAACGGCTGTGTCAGATTGCCACCTTGGTCCTGGGGAGCAAGGTCTAGAGCGAAGCTCTATGGGGCTGACGCAACGTGCCGCCGACCCTGTGCGTGCCGAGGATGAGTGAAAAGGAAAGTGATGAGCATCACCTGCATCATCTGCTTCTGGCGGGTGCGTTTTTGGGCTTGGGTCCGGCTCTGGGGTCTGCAGCCTTGGGCTTGCAAGTCTGTGGTCTTGCCCCGGTAATGCGGGTGATGCTGGTGATGATGGGGATGTTGCTGGGAGCTGCCACACGGCATCTGCTGCAGCTTCGAAACACTGGAAAACACGCGAAAATGCGAGCTTTTACTGCAAAACCACCGAGGAAAACGTTTGGTTTTGACATGCGTTTTGCGTGGCAACTGGCCCAGGCGTGTGTGCGTGTGCATGCAGGCGCGCGGGCCTGAGCATGCGTGCGTGCGTGCGCGCATGCGTGCGCGCATGCGTGCGTGCTTGCGTGCATGCGTGCGTGCTTGCGTGCGTGCGTGTGCGCGCGCGCCTGCGTGAGTGCGTGGGTCCGCGCGCGCGCGCGCCGCGTGTGTGCGTGCGTGCGTGCGTGCGTGCGTGCGTGGGTGGGTGGGTGGGTGGGTGGGTGGGTGGGTGGGTGGGTGGGTGGGTGGGGTGGGTGGGTGTGTGTGTGTGTGGGGTGCGTGCGTGCGTGCGAGCGCGTGCATGCGTACGTGTGTGTGTCTGTGTGGGTGCGTGTGCGCGCGTGTGTGTCCGTGCGTCTGTGTGTCTGTGTGTTTATTTGTGTGGGGTGGGTGGGTGCGTGGGTGCGTGGGTGCGTGAGCGCGTGCGTGGGTGGGTGGGTGGGTGCGTGTTGTGCATGAGTCTGGTGTGTGTGTGTGTGCCTGTGTGTGGGTGTGTGCGTGGGTGGGTGTGCGTGCGTGAGCGCGCGTGCGTGCCCGCGTGTGTGCTTGTGCGCGCGTGCCTGCGTGCGTGCGTGCGGTGAAGGGGACATGGCGAAATGACGGGAAATGGATTAAAAAAAAGATGGAAAATGTGGAAGGTGAATGGAAAACTGAGGGAAGATGTTAGGAAAATGGATGTGTGTGTGTGTGTGTGCAAGTAAGGAAATGTGTGTATGTTTATGTTGTTGTTGTTGTCGCTACTGCCTGCTTGCAAGAGCTGTGAAGTTGAGCCTCGCGATGCTGCCGCGGCCGGTTGTGCGCCAGCAACGTAAATCCGGCCTCGCCGTGCAATGTCGCTTAAAGGGGCGCACGCCTAGGCTTTGCCTGCCGAGAGACGGTCACTGCCGCCGACCCCTCGCATCGTCTGCATTCCCAGCGCGTTTGGTGCATCATCACCACCCGCGCGGCCACTGGAGCTCGAGT